TTTAAATCAGTTTGGTAGTTACCACACGATAACTTGTAGTTACTTCATGAGTTGTATCCAGCAACCTTTATAATCAGGTGTTGGCCTCCCTAATAAGATTATCATTCATATTTCTTCAAGAAATTCTTGTGCAAAGTATGCATCATTTCCCCTGCATTTACAGTGTCAACAATCCTTTGATATAGCTCAGATCGAATGTGTGATTATTGTTTCAAGCTTTATATACATATCAACAATATATTGTTGGAAAAGTCGGCCAACTCGAAGTAACATTGATGGAGTAGACGTATTTGTAGCTTGAAATTCCTACAAAAGTTAAAAAGTATATATATATATATTATAACATGAATAATTTAATGTTCTTAAATTTTAATTAACATATGTCATTAAATTTTAATTTCAAAGTAAACGTAACTTGATTTTCACTATTGATGACGTCTTCAATGCTATTAATTTGAAGACTATTGGATGTTCCTTCTATTGAATTTTTGTTGATACCATTGTCATGATTTGACCTATCATTTCTTTTAATGTCTTGATGCCAACTAGCGTCTCCATATGGAAAAAGTAAAGGATATTGAATGAATCATAACAGCTGAAATAATGTTGTATTCTATGTCTTTTTCCTGAATGTGCATGTACTACAATATCTCTCTTAAATGGAATATTGGTATTATTTCCTTCAATCCAAATAGCAGCAACTTGATCCATTCTAGGTAAGTTATAGACACGTTGATCGACTTGTACATCTATAGCAATATGAATATGAACATATTCAATTGATGGGAGATCTTGTAGGCTTCGGAAAAACTCGACATATGCATTTTCTCTTAAAATTTTCACAATTTTTCAGTAATCTTTTCATTCATCCCCAATATCTCATAGTCTTTCAATTCGATTTTGAATCTCGTTTATGATACCATAAAAATATAGTTGAAAGAATATAGGCTTCTCCTTAGGTAATAGACTTGGGAGGTCATGATATATTTGTCCTTGTACTCTAAACGTGTATACTCTTTTATATGAAGAAGCTAGATCTTTATCTAAATTTACCCCGATTGATGTGAAAAAGAATACTATCATAAGCACGAATGTTCTTTTTAAATAAAATTCATTCCTCAGATTGTGAGATAAATAAATATTTTAGCTCATCAGGTATTGCAGTTTCGGCAAGATGTACCTAAGCAATAAAGAAGTATTTACGAATAAAAATGTAATCATCTAATAAATACAATATACAATACCTTAAAAAAGATTTTAGCGTAGTAGAAACTTATACCTGACCATTAAAGCAACAAAATGTTGGAGTTTCATGATCAAATTTGATTGCTCCACAAAATTTACATGGACATATCTTTTTAAGCTTGTGTATTGGAGAATGAAATGATTCGTACAAAATTTGTCCAGTTTAATATTAGAATACAAACATTAGCTAAGTATACATAAAAATAATGTTAATAAAAGAGATATTGAAATATGATAGTCTTAAGATGCAATGATATAATTTTACCTTGTATTTCATCTGTTATATTTTGTGTGACTATACTGAAATAATCATTTTTTTCTCTGAATACGATGTGTGCTTCCTTCTTGAAGTTTTCCTTTTTTCTTTGATTGCATAGACAATTCAATCGCTTTTCTTCTTTCTTCTTGAGAAAGTGTGGAGTATGTTTTCCTTTTTCTATCACCATCCATATTTTCCTACTAAAATGATAACAAAGCCAAGTAAAATTAAAATAAAGGCGAAATTATAATTTGCTTTTCCACTTAGTGTGTTTAATATGTTTGATTCCGTAATAATAATTGATTTAGTTTTATATTTTTATATCATTTTGTTTTAAGATTCAAACAATTAATGTTGTTGTGATTACCTTAATCCCTCTCTCCTTTATTTGATGAAAGTCGATTATGGTAAAGTTCCATCTTTTTTACACAATTATGAAAATAAAAATGCAAATCTATAGGCACTAAAGTCCATAAGAATAGCTATAAATTTAATTTAGGGATTAATTAGTACATTGATAGGCTATTTAGAGACTGTAATTACATAAAAGGATTAAATATACAAAATTTACACTTTTATCATGAAATATATTTAAGATGGTATTCATCACCAATTTTCGAAAAACACCCCCTCCTTCCGACTTTTCTTCTTTCTGTCTCCGTTTGCTTTCCTTAAACAAACTGTTCCTTCCACCATTATTTCCATCCGTTGGAGCTTCTTCTTTGTCGTCGGAGCCCGTTTGAGCTTCTTCTTCGTCGTCGGCCGCCTGTCGACCGTTCGAGCCCTCCGTTTATCCCGAACATTGTTTAGTCGACGACTGGAACGTTTGTTTTATCTCACCATGATATATTTTGCATACCAATATATTTTCCAAGTTTTTATTTTTGATTTGAACAATGTTGAAGACCCTCATTTTTTTGTATTGTTTAACCCATTTGAAACCCCTTCCATACCCATATATCTTCAATGGGTGTTTTCGATTTTTGATTTTGTGTGTTGTTTTGAACAATATTCCCTTCATTTTATTACTGATTTTTGTTTCCCTCTATTTTTTTGTACGGTTTAATGCTATATTTTTATACAGTTTAACAATAAAGTTCTAAAGATTCAAATATGATTTGAGTGGTGCAAAATTTATGTGTGACTTATTATATATATGAAAATGTTGTAATATATATCTACAACTAAGTACCAATAGTCGGATATATTTTATATTGAGTTTGTTTCTTAATAGCTCAGTTGAGTTGGGTATATTGGATAAAATATAGAACCAATTGTGTAGGATCCGTGTTCACTGGTTTTATATTGTTTAATAGTAAGATATATTTTATATTGCTTAAATATAGTTATTGGGTATATTGGGTAAAATATAGAACTAGTTAGAATTATTTAGTTGTAAGTATTAATTAGTTTGAATCAGAGTATTAATTAAACGAGATAGTTGTAAGTAATTTGAAGAATAAGTTAGAGATATTTTGATGAAGAATTTAGGGCAATTGAATCCCAAGAACCCAAGCAGCTTTAGCATCAATTGGAGACATCCTTGATAACATATATATTATATGCAAATATAATTTATCTACACATAAGTACCAACTGGGTAGTTTTCAGAACTCAATATCCGGATATATTTTATATTTATCATTTAGGTTTATCTTGTAATTGTATTTGATTGCATTTGATAGGTTAATGTTATAATGAACAACTCATAATAATGAAGCATGTGCTATGCTAGGGTGTCTAAATTGATAGAGCAGGTAATTTGAGCTTTGTTTGTAACTTGTTGGTTTGATGTGACACTGTTTAAGCTTATTTGAGATTCAGAATTCAATAGTTAAGATTGTATCTGGATTTATTTTATATCTATCATTAAGTACCAAATTTCCATATACAATCCAATTCTGTTGCAGTCGAAAACTTTTGATGTTATGCTTCCTAATATCATTAAGTACGGAAAAATTATCATGTGTTTTAATTTCAAAACTTTTGTGAGCAGTAGGGAAACCATAATCAACTCTCTATCTCCCTTCCAATTTCTAGTCCCCATGCAACTAACGAATTTGTATCTTTTTGTATTAATAATATTGTTAAATCGTGGGAAGAAATATTTTTGAATGAGTGAATTAAGGGATTAGTGTTGAAAATTTGTATCGGGCCACAATAATTAAAGGATTATATTTACAATTTAGGGATTTAAATCTTTTAGATTTAAAAAAAAAACTATAATAAATATAAATGCAATAAATAAGGGTAAAATCGGTATTATAAAAAAACCCTACATGCAGAAATCTAAAAGTGTAAAATTTGAAAACTTTAGCTCTGAAAATAAGTTTCGTTTTTTTCTAGTTCAAACCAATGAAATAACAACATGATGGTTTTAATATTTAGGGCCTAGGGGCGAGATGAAGAGTTATACTAAACCTATTTTTGTTGGTTTGATTAGTTTGCAGTTTGGTTCAATTTATTATAATTGTATAAGTAAAATATTTACTTTGATTTTAGTTTGGAGTTGAAAAATAGAACTTCATGAAAATTAACTATATAAAGTTTAAATTCTCTAGTATATTATTATTCTTTTTCTTTTGAGAAATTCTCAATCTATTATGATATAGAAAAAATACGGGATTCAAATTGATATAAACTATGTTTGGATTATTTCAATAAATTAAATTAATTTATGAATAAATTTTGTCAATCATATAAATAAAGAGAAAATAAAATTTTAAATGGAAACAAATAATTTAACATGAGAGGGGAGAGGCGGGGAAAGGAAAGGAAGAAGTAAAGAAAAAAAAAGGGAAAAAATAAAATCGACCTTTTTTCATTTCATTATTACAGTTATTTAAAATTTCCTTATTTTATTCCATAAAATTGAATTGAATATTAATGACGTTTTTTTTTCTAGATTTTGTTAGATTATGACAAAAATTATGACATGATATAGTTAAAAGTAAATAGTTTTAAGTAAAAACAATTCTTAAGTTTTAAATTACGAAGATTAAATATATCAAAATTTGAATATACCTTTATATTGGTTTTATTGTGTTATTAACACACCTTTATACAATTGACATCTTATCCAATCCCATCTAAAATTCAATTTTTTTTAGGTGGGATCATTCTCTACATTGTCCAAACATTTTAACAAACATTTTAGGTATTGAGAATTTTTAATATATACAAAAATGAGAATAATTATAAAAGAGCAAGGACCAAATTGAGAAAAAACCCAAAGATCAGCTACCATTTGAATCAGTCTAGGTACCATATAATCCTAGGTAAAGTTTCTGTGTACAAGCCCTATTATTAAGGCTGCTTTCGTCACTACAGCGACGAAAGCGGTATTTCGTCGTTGATGGTCTTCGGCACGTTTTCAACGACGAAAGTAGCGATGGAATGCGTTTCGCTTCCAAAGAGCTTCATTGACAAAATTTTCGTCCCTGAAGACCTTGGATTTTGTAGTGAGAGAGACAAAGAGAGAGATATTTCTTAAAAATTTAATGAACCAGAAATCAAATTAAGAATAATAAATGCAAGAGATGGATACACATATGAAAAACTAACTAATTAATTAGAGGATTCAACTTAAATACAAAAGTAAACTAATTTCTCTAGAATGAGAGATTATTACCTAACAAATTGAGAAAGAAAAGAAAATCCCTTAGTCTAATTCTAATTATTGTGCTTTCTAATTAATGGCGAAGCTTCTTCTTGTTGAGGGAGAATTGGCAGAGCCAGGACATCCTATAGGACTGCTGGGCAATGATGTTGGCGGTGGAGCAGTCCCTGGAGAGGACTATGGAGTGGCCATCGTCGTAGGAGTCCATGCCCTCCGCCATGAGCTGCCACACGAGGCCACCGCTCATGGGGCCGCCGCGCTGAGCCAGGTTGTAGATGTATGAGTAGGTGGCGCTCAGGAAGGAGTTTGTGAGTTGGATCTTTTCGTAGTCGCAGCTGCAGTTCTTCGTCGACATCCCGAACTCAGCGAACACCATCGGCTTGTTCAAGTAGTTCATCGAGTCCATCCAATGGTTCACCATCCAGTCTTGCATGAATGACATTTGGTTGTAGTAACAATCATTCTGTAGCCTACACAAACAAAATTTTAAGGTTASGGTAAGGGTTTTTCTTGTGTTGACTCAAATGAGATTGTTAGGGTTTTGAAAAGTGAGGGGAGTTAAGATTCTAGGATTAGGGTTAGGGTTTATTGACTATGGACTCAAATGGGATTGGCTAGGTTTTGAAAAGTGAGGGAGAAAAGTTGAGATTTTAGGGTTATAAGGGTTAGGGTTTTTGTAATGTGGCCTCAAATGGGATTGGTTAGGATTTTAAAAAGTGAGGGAGATTTTAGGGTTCGGGATAGGGTTTTTATTTTTGTTAAATATGGAAGGAGGCACTTTTTTCTTACCGAGAAATTTATGGTGGGTCTTTGCAGACACTTCCCAAAGCTTTCATAATGACTTGACTTGAGTTTGTACACCCGATTTTGTTAGGTTTTGGAATCAGTCTCATCTAGGGAAATTCTCTCCTCCCGTCCCTTCCACAAAAAGGGACAAGAGTTGAGATTTTAGGAGGTTAGGGTTGGATTTGAGCTCAAGGGACACATACGGGTGAGTTCGGCATTGATTCGGTTTGGTTCGATTTTATACTAAATTTTCATAAAGCTAAATTTACCAGGCATCAGGATATGCGTGGATTGTGGAGAAATCAATCTCTTTGATCTGATGATTGGCAATGAAATCAGTTCCCACTTGTTCACAATTAGGGTTGCATTGCATTCGATCCTCAGTTCCATAGAAGCCTTCAACTCCAACCGTCAGCAAGTGGTTGCTATCTATAGATTTCACATAGGTAGCCATTTCTTGAACCCATTCCTACAAATCAAATAAAAAACACACCATTTTAATACATCAATTAACAATAATAATAAGACAATAACAATTATATAGAGAGTAAAAAGAGACGTTGATGATTTTGGTGGAGTTTGAAGTGGAGCGAGGCTCGTTCATGAGTTCCCAAGCCATGATGGTCACGTCGTCCTTGTAAGGAATGTCGAGAATTGTGTTGTTCCTCGTAAGAATTTTCTGCAATAGTCAACGAGCCTCGGTTATAAAGATCTGTAATCAATATAAGCCACATGACATCGATTGTAACTATATTTTACCTTGACGTGATCTTTGTAGAAACCCTTGACAACTTTGTTAGTGAAGAAATCATCGTCGGAGATATTAGCCGCGGAGGTAGTCTTTTGGGCCCATTGGACGTATTGGTGTTTGCCTCCATAGTCCTTCCAGTTGTTGGTTAAGGATAGAATCAATCGGATGCCATATTTTCTTGCTTCTGATATCACGAAATCAAGAGACTGCAAACCACACAAAACACAGATTGATTGATTGATTAATGCCAAATTCCAAAATGGATTAGCTTCAAAAGTGGATTTGTAGAAAGAGAGCTAAAATCTAACATGGGTCAGTTCCAAAATTGATTTTTTTGGGAGAGAAAGGCTAAATATCCAAAATGGATATTACCAAATTTTAGTTTCAACGGCTCAAACAGGTGGGAGATTTAAACTCACGAGCTAGATGCCAATTACCACTAAAGTTGATATTGACACCGAACAGAGTGACCTAAAATCCAAAATGAGTCCTTTTCAAAATTTAATTTTTTTTAGAGAAGTGCAAAAATCCAAAATGGGCCATTTTCAAAATTGACGAGACAAGTCCACTCCAAAACTGGTCAGTTCCATGATTGAGTTTTTTGGAGGAAGGCCAAAACTCCAAAATGGGTCATTTCTAAAATTGAATTTTTTTTGAGAGATCAGAAAGCCAAGCATCCAAAATGGGTCATTTACAAAAATGATTTTTTCTTAGAGACAATGCCAAAATTCCAAAATGTGTCATTTCCAAAACTGAAAAAAATCCAAAACTCCAAAACGGGTCATTTTCCAAACTTGAATATTTTGATCTAAAATCCAAAATGGGTCATTTCCAAAAGTGAATTTGCAAGAGAAACCAAACCAAAAACCAAAAAAATAGCAAAAAAAGAAAGAGTTTGATGACCTGAAAAACTTTCTCATCATAAACCCCAGGGGAGGTTTGGAGGGCATTCTTGCCGCCGTCGCTGAAGGCCCAAGTCCGGCCGATGGTGAGGCCGACCGAAGCGGCGTCGCAGAACACCGACGAAATCTTCCCTCTCTCCTTAGGGTCAGCTCCCACGGACATCATCCAGTAAGAGTTAAAGCCATTGAACAAGAATGGCCTCCCATTCAGCACAAACTGGCAGTTCCTTGTCTTTATGAACCCTAAATAAGGGCAGATTTCAGCTTCACTACTCACAAACAATGACACAACAACAACAGCTCCAAACAAAAAGCTGCAAATTCTCTTAGAAAAAAGACCCATTATGTTTAGTTCCTTCACTGTGTTTTGCTCTGAGTGAACACAACTTGGAAATGGCTGTGGGGGTTGCAGCCTATTTATAGGGTTTTTGGTGGTGAAGAGAGAGCTTGAATATTGGGTTTTAGTTGAGTGGGAGATTCTTCATAAACAGATCATCAGAATTTTCTTCTCTTATAAAACAAACAAATTTAGGGTTTGTTAATTAACCGTCTTAATTAGTTGAGTGATAAGTGGCTTGAAAACAGAGTAGAAAGGGAAGAAAGATCTAGTAATGTGAATATATATCGTGACTTTTTTTTTGGAATTATTTATTTATTTTGAAAAAATACCAGAACCATGTCATTAAGGTATGTGAGAAATATACACACCAAAAAATGGGAAAGTAAGGTGAAACGTTCCAATTAAGGGAAATGGAAGAGATATTGTAATTACAACAATAGGAAGATTTGGAAAATTAAACCAAAAGGAAGAAGAGAATATAAAAATAACATAAATTACAAAAATATCAAGAAGAGAATATGTACTAATATACTTAGAAGGTTTAAAATTTTATAGAAATTACACAAAATTACAAACCTATATTATCATGACGTGAGAGGAAAAAAAATTATGATATTTTTATAAATACATATATTTGTTTTTTCGCTATTTGATATCATTTTTGTTTTTTAGTACTTTTTAGAATATTCTTCTTTGATATACATCTACATTTTTAACCACCTTCGTAGAACTCTAACAAGATTGTAAAAAATTAACTACAACAGGTTTGATTAAAAAAACAAAGTTTGTTATTTATATTATTTTTTTTAAACCATGCTTGTTAACAATTTTCTTTGTTTAGCAAACTCTTGAAAATATTCTTTGATTACTCAACAAAAATATTCTTAAAATCATAGCTAAATTTAAAAAAAAAAAATTAAAGTTAAAAATATCATTTTGTTTATGGTATACTTTGAGTTTTTTCCAAGTTTTTTTTAGTACAGTTTTTTCCTAGTATAATCCAAGTATTTTCGAATATTCAAATTTAATAGATTTTAAAATTAGTCCTCTGTTGTTAGTTTAGAATTATACCTGACCAAAAAAATTTCTATGCAAAAAATGATACAATAACAATGTGGTTATTGCTTAAAAAAATGTAAATATGGGCAGAAATTAACCAATAAACTATTTTTAAAACATAGAGATTAGTATTTAACCAAAAGATAAAATCCATTTGGTAAGTATTTTTAAAAAGGTTACTTTTTGTTTTGTGCAATCTACTCTCTAACACAATTTTAAAATTCTTGTCGAATTTTAAAAATAGAAACAAAAAGGTATAAAAATAGTTTTTTTTTTTTTAAATTGGCCTAACTGATGAGTGAAAATCCGAATAAATAAATTACTAGTAACAAATTTAACTTTTGAAAATAAAAAATTTAACGACAAAATCATTATTCTCAATTTTTTGGGAGCAAAGCATTTGTAGGGGAAAAAAAACTTATGGATTGTGTTCTTCTTAGAAGATCACATGTATCAGTTTTGGTAATAATACATAAAAATTCAAAAAATCAAAACCGTCAACCATTAACTAAAATAAATTTATTTATTAATAAAAAAATCAGTATTTTTAGTTCAAGAATTCAGGTGAGGACGGTAATAGTGTTGGGATTGGTGGAGTCAAAACGACGTCAGATCTGGCTAGAGAAGAGTCGGGATCGAGTCGGAACGCG